ATGTCCTCTTCAATTTTTTTTAATTTTTTTCAGAGTACTATAAGGGCCAGGGATATAGCTCAGTGGAATAAGTGCTTGCCAGGGGCCTGAGTTCAATCCCTAGTTCCACAAAAAAACCAAAAACAACAACAACAAAAAAAAAGAGTACTGTAGTTTTCAATGTAGGGATGTTTTACTCCCTTTGTTAGATTGGTTTCTAGGTGTTTCATTTTGAGGATGTTATTGTGAAAGGTGTTGTTTACCAAATTTCTCTTAGTGAGCATGTTGTTTATGTACAGAAAAACTATTGATTTTTGAGTGTTGACTTTATCCAACTATACTACGGAATTTTGTCCTTTGGTGTGGAGTGTTTTGGAGTGTTCTCTGTAGAGTATCATGTCACCTGCTAATAACAATAATTTAACTTCTCCCTTTCCTATTTGTCTTGGTTACTTTTCTCTAGTAGCTGGGACAAAATACTCAAGATCTAGAATTAAGGAAGGAAAGGTTTATTTAGCTCACCGTTAGTAGAGGTTTCAGGCCATACTCTTATTTAGCTCATAGTTAGTGGAGGTTTCAATCCATACTCAGCTGGCTCCAAGCAGAGTGGCACATGGCAGATGGCAACAGAAAACAGCAAAGAGCACATGGAGTGGCAGCAGCTTCAGCTTCAGCTTCTAGCAAGCTTCTTTACCCTCCTTACATTGTAATGCAGATTACCTGCCCCATGACGAGTACAACACCCCCACACACAATAATCAATCACAAAGGTCCAGAAGCTGCCCCATGACTGCATGAGGCTTTGAGGGGGGAATGAGATACAAACCATGGTCATGGTGTATAATCTTGATGATTTGCTGCATTCTGCTTGCTAGTATGTTAATTGAGGATTTTTGCATGTATATTTATTAGGGAGATTGGTTATAGTTCTCTTTCTTAGTTAGGTCCTTCTCCAATTTTTTTTTTTTTTTTTTTTCCTGAAACCGGCGATTGAACTCAGGCCCTTGCGCTTGCCAGGAAAATGCTTATTCCACTGAACCATCTCCCTGGCCCCTTCTCCAATTTTGGTATCAGAGTAGTGCTTGCTTACATGAATGAATTTGGGAGTGTTCCTTCCCTTTTCATGGACTGTCCTTGTTCTTTTTATTTCTTTCTTTTGTCTAATTGCTCTGGCTAATACTTGTAGAACTATACTGAACAGGAGTGGTAATAGTGGGCATCCTTGTCTTGTTCCTGATTTTACAGTGAAAACTTTTCTTTTTTTTCAGTGAAAACTTTTTATATTTGTTTAGTTTGATGTTGGCTGTTGATTGGTCATAGATAGCTTTTATCAGATTGGCATAATGATCATTGATTAGTGTTGTAGAGGGTTTTTAATTATGAATGGGTGTTGGACTTTGTGAAAAGCTTTTTCTGCACCTATTAAGATGATCATATGATTTTTATCTTGGCTATGTTAATACTTTTTTAAAATTTATTTTGGTGGAACCGGGGATTGAACTCAGGACCATGCGCTTTCCAGGGAAGTGCATATTCTACTGAGCCATCTCCCCTGCCCCTATATTTATTGATTTGCATATAATGAATCATCTCTACATCCCTGAGATGAATCCTACTTGGTCATGGTGTATAATCTTGATGATTTGCTGCATTTTGCTTGCTAGTATCTTAACTGAGGATTTTTGCATATATGTTTATTAGGGAGATTGGCTGCAGTTCTCTTTCTTTTTTTTTTTTTAATGGTTAGTACATTGTGTATTGTTACTGCCAAAGTAGTTTCTCATATTACAAGATATAGGCAAGAAATAATAAGTAAACAACATAGGTACAAAC